TGAGTTTGTGGCTCCCGTTTTCCTCCTCCTGCAGCCTGACACCGGCGTTATCCCACTGGGGGCTCCTTGCTTCCACTCAGGAGACAACAAAACCTCGTGGATTTTAGTCCATGTAAGCAATACCAGAATCTGGTTCCCGGGCCCAGCAGAAGAGATGCTCACCCTGCAAAACACACCCCAGAGATGTGCAGAGAAACGGGAAGGCTCGGGTCATCACAAGAAGGTGTGGCTGGTTGAGGTTGTGTCTTGGAGCAGCCAACGCCTAAAGAAACTGGGACCATCACATGAGAAAAAGAAGAGAAGCAAACCTTGCTGAGGGTGGTTGGAAAAGCCCATATAACCACCTAAACCTGAGGGGGGCTTTGAAGACGAAGCATCACTGGGGCTTGCACCGTTATCCCAAAGCAGCTGAAGGGTGAGATTGGTGGGGCCATGCTGAGCCAGGCAGGGCAGCGCTGTCAGCCGTGGCTGGGGTCTCCCCATGGCCTCAGAGCCATTGGCTGCATCTCCTAACACACCCTCAGCTAGAAAGGAAAGAAAGACCTGAACCCTCAAGGGCTGGCACATCTCCTGAGCCGCAGTCGGAGAGGAGGGCAGGAGCAGGGTGGGAGGGGAAGAGCTCATCCCCACCTACAGGCATCCATTGCCAGCAAGGATAGACACCTGTATCCCCAGGGAGGACTTTAGGAACTCCTTTTCGCACCCTTAGCATTGGAGCAGGCATTTTGCAGCAGAGCCCAGCCCAGGGCTGCCTGGGCAGGGTCGGACACCTTCCACCAAACCTGGAGCAGCCCAGCAAGGTAGAAAACCCTTCCCGATGTCCAACCCGAGCACAGACACCGAGGCCAGACATCCCACCTGCCCTGGATCAAGTCTCACCCCCCAGCAGCGCTGGTGTAGCCCCCCAGCTGCTCCCGCCCTGGCTGTGCTCTTGCAGCACAAGGACAAGGTTACCACTGCAGCACGCATTAAGCGAGCGCTGCGAGCAAGGCGCTGCCCCAGCCTCACCACCTCTGCCCTTGCTGGGGTGCAGCAGGGCCAGCAGCCACATAGAGAAGGCAAGTGGGAGCCCAGGGTGACCCCAGCACAGGAGCTCTCCATCACACCCCTCCAGGGCCAGCAAACAGCAGGCAGAGCAGGCAGCAGCATCTGCTGGCAGCCCCAGATGCACCCAGAATCAAGCAACCAGGAGGCAGGAGCCAAAGGAGACAGGGACAAAGTCAAGGCTGCAACGTAGGTCCAGCACCCACCCTGAAGATCGTGCCAAGCCCAGGACTTGCCCCGGGTGCCAGCAGCCACCCAAGGGACTCACCTGGGGCAGAAGCTGCTTGCAGGGGTGAGGTCCAGCAGGGCACAGCCAGGAGCAGGGCTGGAGACCAGCAGCATCCTTCAGAGCAGGACTAACACCCCCAGCTGAGCTTAAATAACCTCCTGGGCCCATGGGTGGGGTGTGGGTCCCAGGTGAGGCTGCTCAGGGCCATCAAGAGCTAGTAGTGCCCATGGGAAGATGGCAATTTGGTCCTGCAGCTGCCCAGGCTGGCTTTACTTGTTGCATAGCGATGCCCAGCTGGGCTGTACTGGGAATGCCACAGCGGTCACTGCTGAGCCTGGTGCACGCTGTGCATTGGCGATGGCCCATGGTGCTGAGCACTGAGGTCGGGTCCAGTATAGCCATATGTATGGAAGAAATCATGAACTGCTCGTGGCCTAACTCTGTCCACGTTTGGGCTTCTCCACCTTGCACCAGGCAGTCACCTCCGTGCCCAGCGGATCCCTGATCCTGGAAGCCCTTTCCTGAAGGTCTGAGGACCTACTGCCAAAATCAGCCCCTTGAAGGCTGGGAAATTACCCGAAATATCAGGACGAGCAGGAGCAGTGCTGGGCATAACTGAGCATCCCTTTGCTGAGCCTTGGGCCAAGCCACCAGCACCCAGGATTTATGCGCAGCCTCTCAGTAGTTGCGAGCAAGATGTGCCTGTGAGGCCAGAAATTAAGTTGGTGTCACGTGTAGCCCATCCTCACCCAAAGCATTTTGGTCCCCTGAGTCGGGAAAGGCCTTGAGATTGCGGGTTTTGGGTCAGAAGTTGGGTTTTCAACCCAGAAGTCAGAGGTTTGGTGCCACTGGCGCAGGAGCGATGCTGTTACAGCAGGTTGAGATGGCACTTGTCGTGGGAGGGGATGGCAGGGGTTTCTAATCCCTGTGTTCCTGTTAGCAGCCATTCATTGGGGACGTTAAAAAGCAGTTTGTCCTGTGGCTTGGCCAAAGTTGCCTGTCCCGGCTACCCTAGCCTAAAAATGTGTGCCTAACTCCTCCTTCGTTTCTTCTGCTGCAAGCTCAGGGTCTTGTTAGAGCTTTTTTGGGGGGACACTAAAGGGATCTTTCTTCTCCAGGCATGCTCTCCCATGGCATGGTCTCAAATGCTGCTATCAGACCACATACCCACCTTCTGCCCCTCTTCGTGTCTGTCCCTGCTGGGAAGAGTTTCAGACTTTGAATCCTTTTTTTCTTCATTGTCCTCTGGGGTCCCCACGGGGGATGGAGGTGTGAGTGGCCCTGATTCCTCCCAGGTCCCCTGCGTGGGGACAAAAAGCCCTGGGTGCCGGTGGCCGTGTCCCAGAGACTGGCTCTTTGTTCCCTGTCTCTAATTGCTGGGCCCAAACAGCTCATGAACCACTCTGCCCCATGCCCTCCCGTCCCTGCAGCTCAGGGAGGAACCCCCCGTGGGGACGTGCTGGGGCTCAGCCTCTGAGCGTGGATTTTGGGGTGACACATAAAACCAGCTCAAAATGAGCTTGGGGTGAAGCTGCCGGTGTTGCTCCTCTCTTTATGCAGCCTGGGGGGTTTCAGGGGGTGCCCAGAAAGGGGGGTTGTACGTGGCCAGAGCGGACATCCATCAGCAGACATCCAGAGCCGCCCCTGCAAACTCTGTCACAGTTTTCTCAGCCAAAAAATAGGCAGCTGGCAGAAGCCTCTTGGTTGTTTTGGGAGCCAGGGACAGTACCATCCCCCCCATCCATGTGCAGTGACTTTGGGAAGCGCTGGAGAACACGGGGATTTGCTCCGAGCCCGAGGCATCCCTCAACCCTAAGGAGGGTTCAGGGCTGGGGTCCTTCCCACAGCGCCCCGATTGCCCCGGGGCAGAGCAGAGCCCAGCCGTTCACCCCCGGTACGTACAGATCTGGGAGCACAAACAGCCCTTTGGGAAGCTCGATATTAATGATTTAGAAACAATTTTTGGACTCTCTCACGGAGAGAGCTTGCATTTGCATTTGAAAACTCCGGAGGAGCTGGTGGTGCTGGCGGGGGGACGGGAGCGCTGGCCGGGTGCTATCAATGGGAAACTGTTCTGTCAAACGCTGCCGGGGCCAAAAAAATGTGAACTCTGCAGATTTCTGGCTCTGTTCATGGTCAGAATTGCTGGCTCCGGTCACAGTGCCCGGCTGCTCTGCTCCCAGCTATTAACGGCTCTGCTCAGAAGCTGATTTTCCTTCGCAGCCAAAGCAGAGCAGGGTTTTGTGAAAGATGGGGGTCCCCAGGATGTGAAATGGGGGCATTCAGCTTGCTGCTTTTGGGAGCTGGCAAGGCTGTTCATGCTCTCCGGTCCTTATGAGCCTGGGATCCAATTTGCGGTGTGTTCAATGCTAAAGCCACCAGTTTGCATTGGGAGTGGAGCTGAGGCCCGATGCACTCATGTCACATAAGACCCCCTTGTGCAAGCCTGTGGGGCCATTGCCCGCGTTGTGCCTCTCCGTGTCCCAGTCCCAGGCTGCAGCACCCCAGAAGGCACCACCGTGGTTAATAAATGCCTTTTTTTTTCTCCTTTCTCAGCCTGTTTTACACCACTTGCCCTTTATGCCGATGGGGTAACCTGCCCCCACCCCACCGTGCCTGTCCTTCCTCGCCAGCTCCCATGGGTGCTCTTGCTGGAGGTGGGGCCGTTGGGTGCGGGCATCTCCCTAAATCTCCTTGAGCCCCATAGAAAATGAACCATCCCCGGTTCAGGCAGGGACGGCGGCAGAGCAGGGAGCCCACAGGGATGCTGCGGTGAGCAGGGGCCACGGCAGCTTGCCTCGGTGTAGTGCACGCACAACTAAAACCCCGGAGAGCTTTGCACTCAGCTGGAAATAATGGCATTACAAGCGCTTGCTCGCTTCTGGCTGCTGTGTGGGTTGGGTGAGGCTTTTCGGGGCTGGCTGAAGGGCTGCAGCCCGTGGGGGTTTGCTCCTGGTTTGGGCACAGCTCCGGGAAGGTAAGCGGGAAAGGCTCCCTGGGCATGGTGGCTTGTCAGCGGAGCACGAGGGTGGGGACAGGGCCTGGCGTGGTCCTCGCCTCTGTCCTGGTGCCATGCCCCTGTGCTCGCCAGCTTTGCACCTGTGGAGCATCCCCTGCTGCCGCTGCGTGGGCCGTATCCTCCATATCCCAGTGTGGAAACGATGAGTCCCCTGTGCCGAGAGCAGAGGGAATGGAGGGGAAGAGTGGGCAAATGGCAAAAGCTGTGTATTTTCTTTTTTTTCTTTCTTTCTGCTTTGCCCAGGAGAGGCGTGAGGGCTTGCCGGCAGCATGCCGCTGGTGAAGAGGAATATCGAGCCCCGGCACCTGTGCCGGGGGGCTCTTCCCGAGGGGGTGACGAGTGAGCTGGAGTGCGTCACCAACAGCACGCTGGCTGCCATCATCAAGCAGCTGGGCAGCCTCAGTAAGTCAGGCTCAGCGACCCTGGCGTGGGACAGGGACGGGGCGGTGGGACGCTGGTGGGATGCTGGTGGGATGCTGGTGGGATGCTGGTGGGACACCGTGGTTGCTTGCTCTGGTTCCAATCACAGAGAAGCGGGGGCTATGTGAGAGCCATGCGGGCTGCAGCCACCCCTAATTCGGTGGGAATTATCCAGCTAATTAAAAAAAGGAGGATGCTCAGGGCCAAGCCCAATGTGGGGACTTGGTGACATTTTTAAGACCCATTTTCCTCCCATAGCTGGTGCGGTGGGGGGCGGAAAGCCTTTGCGAGCCCCTTGCTTCTTGACTTGGCCAGAAATAGGAAGGTCAGGGAAAGATTAAAAAAACCCAACCTATTCTTTTTAATCTTAGAGCTTTATGTGAAAGAGAGGTCTATATAAAAGGTCTAAATCCTCCGCTGTCTTCTTGCCCTGGGACTGATCTCAGCAGAAAAGGGGAGGACGAGAGCCATGCACACACTGGTGTGAAGGTTTAATGGGGCAACCTATTTCACTGCTGAATATAGACTAAAAATAGAGGAAGAAGCACAGGCTTTTCAGGGCTCCCCCTCTTTTTCCCCCCTCCAGAACTAGATTCTTCTCTAAAATACTCCCAGAAAAATAAACCCTGTATTTAGGGAGCTGCTGGCAGCACGACACCTTGTGTGAGCAGCACCCATGGGTGCTCAGGCTGTGGCTACTTCGTCCAGGGGAAAAGGAAATCAAATACAAACGGCTGAGTTGGGTGACCAGCCGGGCAGATATCAAAAGTGCCTTGATCTTGGGAGCCATTTGATCTGTGGTTTTGGAGGAAAACTCAAAGAGCTGGGGTGCTGGGCTGGGCTGGGTGCTGGGGCGGGTTGGGTGCTGAAACGGGATGGGTGCTGTAGCCTGCAGGTGTCAGCAATGCTCTGCCAGGCATCCCACTCAGACCTGTGATAACAGCAGCCCTAATAAAGAGTTCTCATAGCGATGCACTGCGTGCTGCAGGAAAATAACTGCTAAAATGAAAAAATTCCCAGCTTCTCCCCGCTGTAGCACTCTCCCTGCTGCTCTGCTCTCGGTTTTCCACCTTCAGGGCTGGGTCTCTGCGGGTGATGCTGCATGGCCAGGGGGTGATGGTAGTTTTTTGGCTGCATCTGCCCTGGTAGATCCAAAGACTTTTTAGGATGAGCACCGCCATGGTTTGGTGTCTCCCACGGGTACCACTCTTGCTGAAAAGGATGCTCGTGTGCGGAGAAGGGCAGGCGGCTTGTGCTCCCCTCCCCTGTGTGCAGCGCTTTGCCAGGTCTGGGAAAGGATGAAGCTCAGCTCCCAAAAAATCAAGGCTGGGGAGAGAGCCCCAGAGCCGGTGGCAAGGCGTGCAGTCTGGGGGACGGGCTGGGAGAGGGCTGCCTGCCTGCCGCCGTTGCCCGTGACGGGCGCCTGTTGCCCTCTGCCAGGCAGGCACGCGGAGGACATCTTTGGCGAGCTGTTCAACGAAGCCAACAGTTTCTACATGCGGATGAACTCGCTGCAGGAGAGGGTGGACCTGCTGGTCATTAAGGTGACGCAGCTGGACTCCACCGTGGAAGAAGGTGAGGGGCTGGGGCTATTTTGGGGTGATGGCCGAGCACAAGTGGGTGGGACATGCGTGCTTGGGGCCGGACCACCCGCCATGCCTTGGTTCGGGGGGCTGAGATGACCCCTGCATCCCCTCTCCTTCCCGTGTTCCCCCAGTTTCGCTGCAGGACATCAACATGCGGAAAGCCTTCAAGAGCTCCACGGTGCAGAACCAGCAGGTTGTGTCTCGCAACTCCATCCCCAACCCAGTGATGGAGATGTACCAGCGCTGCGACAAGCCCCCGCCGCTCAACATCCTCACGCCCTACAGGTAGGGTGGCTTGTGCATCGCTCCTTGGGGGGGCCAAGGGGGTCTTGGGGGGCCCTTTCCAGGAGAGGCATCGGGGGGTGCACCCCGTTTGCTGCTTGGTGAGGGCTGAGAGGCTGTTTTCTCCAGTTGCTGCGCCACCATCGCCATTGCATAGGGTGCTTGGGATGAGTGACCCCACGCAGTGGTACTGCAGGTAGTGACCACTGTGTTGGACATGTTTATGGTGGGGTAACAGCTTATGACCGTGATCGCACCAACCCCGCCTGCTCAGGGGAAGGGGGGTCTTCTCCTGTGGCTGATAACTCCCTCTCCTCCCTCCTCTAACCCCCCAGAGATGACAAAAAGGATGGCCTCAAGTTCTACACTGACCCATCCTACTTCTTCAACTTATGGAAGGAGAAAATGTTGCAGGCGACAGAAGATAAGAGAAAGGAGAAGCGCAGGCAGAAGGTAACGGGCAGGCGGGGGACACCAGAGGGCTGGAGCTGGGGCTGCTGGGGACCTGGGGGACGGTCGCCTTCCTGATGCATCCTGCATGCTCCCTCCTGCCGTGGTGGGTGCATCTCGATGCTCCCTGGGTACCGCTTACAGTCCGGAGGAGCCGGGCTGGAGATGGAGCCGCAGCCTGTGTGTGTCCCCAGGAGCAGCGGCTGGTGGAGGACTCTACCCGGGAGGTGAAGAAAGTGAGGAAAGCCCGCAACCGGCGCCTGGAGTGGAACATGATGGCATATGATAAAGAGTTCCGACCCGATAACAGGTTCTCACCATCCCCCTATCACATGGCGTCATCGGAAGGATCACTGTCCCCAGATAATAGGCAGGTTTTACCTACTACACGTTTAGCTCACCGGCTTTCCTTTGCTTTTCTCTTCTTCTCCGTCTTTGGGGGGACGTGCTGCCCGCAGCAGGGTCGGGGTGATAAGCCATAAACCCATGGTGGCTTCATGGACAGCTGGTGCCCCCGGGGTCGCATCCTGGACCTCAGGAGCAGCCTTGGTGTTGGGATAAAGTCGGAGTGCTTTCCATTTAGCAGCTAAGGGAACAGACTGCCTCAGCTCTGTTGGTGTCCACCTCCCCTCTGCTATCTCTCTGCTTTCTTGTCCATCTGTATTTTTGTCATCATTTTTTGTTTTGTTGTCTCAACCTCAAAACACACCCAAGTCCACGTCCCCCTGAACCCCCGGCCACCTGACCCCCCTCCCAGGAGTACAACCATCGGGTTTTCTTGTGCTGTAGATCTTACGCATCGGACGCAGCCGACCACTCGTACCCGGCAAGCCCCAACCACCCCGCAGCTGCTCTGGCCCCGGCGTCCCACC